GTTTTCACTTTTGTGTTTTTAGCCGATGGGGGTCATTAAGAACCGAGAAGACTGCCACAATTATCTTGCACTCAAAGACCATTCTAACAAACTAAAAATGCCGGGAAGAAACATTCTTCAATTTTTTTTTTAAGAAGAGAGCTATTGTGACCCCGGGGAGGGGGATACTCCCTATATAATGGCCCTATACCACTCCGGAGGCTCCGCCCTAAAGGTCTACTGCTTCAAGTATATGAAAAAGTACATGGATTTCACTGGTTGAAGTAAATGAAAGGGTAGGGAAATCTGACATTTTGATCTGTAAAAAGGCCCAAAAGGACTAAAAGATAAATTTATGGCGCTAAAAAGTTAAAAAAAGTTATGATTTTGTGGTTGATTCATTTCAAAAGACATTGCATTCACAGCAGTTAAAAGGGATGAAAAAATCTAATAAACTTGGTAAAAGAAAGGGGTACCATTTGTCAATACAAGGTATATGAAAGGGAACCTTTGTTGTGAAAAATAGTTTATAAAGGGGCAAGGGGTTAGAGCTAGGGGCGGGGACCTCCCCGTATAAAACTTGTTGAGTACCACCCCCTTCCCCGCTGGGATTGTGTCAGCTTTTTGGAAACCATGTTGAATTTACTATTATAAAGGGTGAGCCAATTTTAACAGTGGATAATTCTTACGAGTTAATTTTTTTTTCTTTCTAAACAACACTGTGGAAAGGCCTGGGGTAGATGTTATTTAGGGATTCCAGGGATTCTAGGTTTGTCCCCAGACAGTTCCCTGACAGGTTTTTTTCGTTTTCCAGTATAGCGACGAGAAAACGGAGGGATGGCAGGGCGCCAGTGGAAAAGGAGACAGGTGTTCCATTTTCAGAACAGAAAGGTATTTACATTATCACAGGGCATCTAATGACAGAAGTGTACTTTCTCAGTCCTTAACTATCTTATGCTCAGTAGCGGGTATAAGTCATTCCCGGGGGGGAGGTACTTCCTTATAAGAGGCTAATGGGGATGCGCCGCTGGATGGGGTCGCATTGTCACGTCTGGATTGACTATAACGGGGTTGCATTTTCAATGGAGCCACTAGAATGGGGTCGCACATTTTCGGACTTTTTGGGGTAAATAAAGTTCTTCACATTTACGGTTAGCAAACGTACCAGAATGTTTGTACTGTAGGTGAAAAGTGAAGTATTCTTCATTCATTATTAAAGTACTGTAGATACATAAATAGAAAGTAAAGGTGATGTTACAAGGGACGATTCGCAACGACGATTTTTAGCGCAACACAGTGTAGCAATGTTGGAACAATGTTGCAATCATTCAAAATAATGTCGCAACAATGTTGTAATGCTGTGTTGCGCTAAAAATCGTCGTTGCGAATCGTTCCGTGTAACATCGCCTTAACTATGGTGGGATCGAGAAAATTACATTTGCCCAAAAGTGACTGAGATGGGGTCTATTATTGGCCACAGTTATTATTGGCCACTGCCATTTTTTCCGACTCAACTGGCTGCCCCTGGGTATCCGAGGATAGTCTCCAGTTGGAGCCAAAATAGTGTCCCCAATTAGTACTTTCGCGCTAAATGCGTTGACACTCAAATAAAATGCATTTTTTTTCTTGCTGATCATGAAAGTTATGAACGCACTTACTAAAAACTAAACCCGCGAGGCTCTAACTTAAACCAAAACAGGAACTCTGATGTTGGTAACAAACATAGTCAGCTATAACCCAGAAAACATGCTCACTTCAAGGACTGACACTCAAATTTTATAAATGACACTATCATGTACAAAAAACCCTTATAAAGTAATAAAATTCAAAAACCTGTCTATACCATCACGGAATTACCCTTGATAACAAACCTGATTATAACGAGACTCTTGCTAGGCACGAGTGAATCTTCAAGTGCAAACATAAAATCAGCTAAGTAAATACCACATGACAAAAATCTTCATAACAACCTAGAAAATTCTTCACAACATTAAAGTGGACAGTCTCTTGCGGACCTATAAGACCTCATGTTGGAAATGGTGTGGTCTTAAGTTTACAATATTATTAGTAAATCTATTAAGCAAATGGAGTTTTAAATGAACAACTTCAACAACATACTAACAAAAACTAAAAGCTTAAGAAAATTACGAGGGGGTATAGAAAATTCAGAAAGTGGGGGGGGGGGAGGATCTGCTGGACACTTGCAAGCTATAAATTACTGAGATTTCTGCAAGAAAAAATTGCAAAATTTCACAGAAAAAAGGACGGCGCGATTTCCTCAGACCAACCCTAAATCAACCCATGCATTATTTACATTGAAACATTATCCTTTTCCATCATTTACGTGCTGTTAAAAATCCAGTTTGGCAATTCACAGGAAAGGTTTGACAATTTGACGTATCCAGCAATTGTCAACGTGGAACGGAAACCTTTTTCTGTTTGTTAATCATATCCCGGTAATTACTACAAAGTGGATTTTGCAAGTGCTACCTTAAAAGTATTCTTACTAAATGATTAAAAGCAAGTCTTTGGTTGCTTATCTTTGAATCCAGAAATGATCAGCATGCAGATCTAAGCTCTGTTATCTCAGCGACAGATAAAGATTCGCTTTCATGGCCTTCTGCTCTTATATCTTCCTCAAAATAGCAGCAAGCTTTTCCATGGTCGCATTAGTAGACAGTCCTGTACATTTGCTCTTGAAGGTTTTTGAAAAAAGACCTTACAGGTCATGGGCTTACTTGTGAGGTACTTTCTCACTTCCCTGAGGGCTCTTTTCATTACCGGTTAGAACTGGGGTACTTGTTCCTGAACCTTCTCCCAACCCACCCGAGAAAGGTGCCGGGGATACACGAGGTCTTTTGCTTTCCGGAATTTCCTCTTCGCTGAAAAGTCCTCTTTTACCGGCCCCTGCTGGACGCTTCTTAGCTTTTGCTGAAAAAGAAAAGGAACAGTTCATTCAAAAATTGCTTACACACCTGATAAGGACCAAATACAACCAAATCCGAAGTAGTAAAAGTTTTTGCTGAATACGCTTTATTAAATGAATGGTTACTCCACAAAATTTCATCCACAGACTGCGGAAAATAGATATTTCACACCCAGTTGGTGGGGCTGTATTCACAGGGAGTCTCTGGCCGGTCACTTGCATAGGATGGATAATCCAACGCAGCTATTATACTCTCAGCTCTGTTTGAGAATGCGTAATCAAGGGACCCCTAGGTAAAGGTTCAAAGATGTTGCTAAGAGAAATATGAAAAGGAGAGACATCAGTTTCGACCGTTGTCAGGTGAGTGCTAACGAGAGATCAAACTATGATGGACCCTATAGTCTTAACTTCATCAGTCTTAGTAGCATCGGCTGATGATGATGATTTGCCACAGCAGTGTTCTATGCATGGATTTCACTTACGATGCTCTACATCTTAAAGTCTTAATAAGTTGCCATCATTTCTAACCTTGTAAAAACAATGTTGACGTTCTCTTCATTTCGTTCTGGTCCGGACGAGGACGAGGGCAACGACGACGATAACCAGGATGAGGACGAGGGTGGGGGGTGAGGACGATCCGCGTCCTCGTCCTCATCCTCGTCGTCGACGGCGGCGGCGGCCTCGTCCTCATGCTCGTGCCAGGACTCCTTTCCTTTATCTCGTTCCAACATGTCTTTCAGCCCATGTCTTTCTTGTGTTAATTCATCCTCATCTTCACTTGATGTCTCTTCTGCGTGACGGTCATCTTCAAGTTTTAAAGTTGTTACATCTTTTGGCATACGAAAACATAGTGAGAACCGTTTCAGTAATACGATAGTGCTATTGTTGTTTCCGTTTTTTAGATGGAAAATAAATGCTTCCTTTAAATGACCTATGTTACCTTTTTCCTTTTACTTAAAGAGTAAGGCTAGTAAATTTCTCTAATGTTCTCGATAGGACAACAAGATAATCGATTAAAAACGTCTCCTCCTGCTAACTTGTAATCAGGGACTTCTGAGCGACAATTTACCTTTCTTAAAAAGAAATGAGCGGTGTTGAACTCCATCTGTAGTTTGTTTGAGTAAGCAACCCCAAATCGGAAATTGTGTTTGCCTTAACATTTCTGTTTCGATGCAGCTGACTTTTGACCTAGGGCACTTTTCTTTGAGAAAATCCAAACCCGGATTTTGCCTTTCTTTACTTAAATTAAAAATACACTAAATCCGCATAATGATTATATTTTATAGATTCACGATTAGTGAGTTTGTTTGGGCATGGGTCCTAAAAAAATACATCTGTCGAGCATTCTTCGCTCTTGCAGGCGTTTCACACTGTCAAATATTTTTAGAACGTTGAAGAATCCATCTCCCAGCTTTTGCTCACTTTCCTTTTGTCCTGTCAAGTCCAAAGACTGTGAGATTGTGCAACAATTAAACCTTAACGGATTTTTTCTAAAGGAACGCGCCCTTGATTAGAATCATTAAAAGTTAGCAGGAGGTTACACTTAACAATCATTTTTGCCTTACCGTCCTTACAACTGCCTTTATCATCATCCTCATCGTCATCATCTTCTTTCTTGGATTGTAATAAATGCTTTTCATCTTCATGAGTAATCTGCAAGGACCAATAGGGTTTTCATTAGAAGAAACTTGAAGATATGGAAGGAAGGAATAGAGTGTAAACAGAAACTGTTACAGTCAAACCTGAATTGAGAGATGTCTTACCAACGTCCCGAATATCGATTCCATAATTAATATATGTACAACGTTTTTGAGTTTATCAAATTAAAATCATTTATATAGATTATATGAATTTCATATATTGGAACTGCGGAAGAAAAAATGCAAAGAAGATCCTCCCAGTTTAAGACGCAACTTATGCTGCTGTGAAAAAAAAAAAATGAAAAATTCAGCCTTTTAAATTTCACAACACCAACACGATAAACCTTAAAGACTGCGTAAAATATTTCTAGAAGAAATATAATTTCCACAATATAGTTTTTTGCGTCTGTTAGCAGTCTTTCATGTACCTTACTTGGTGTTTTGTTGAGCCAGTGCTTGTCTGCACTAATGGCCAGAGCATGTTGCTGATACTCCTTGGCTTGCTCGAGGTCACCTAAATCCTGGTAAATCGAAGCCAAGTTATGGTAGCTTGTTGCAACGTTAACATGTTCCGGGCCGAGCTTGTCCAGTTGGATGTCTAGAGCACGTTGCTGATTCTCCTTGGCTTGCTCAAAGTCACCTAAATCCTGGTAAATCGAAGCTAAGTTATTATAGCTTGTCGCAACATTAACATGCTCGGGGCCGAGCTTGTCCAGTTCAATGTCTAGAGCACGTTGCTGATACTCGTTGGCTTGCTCGAAGTCACCTAGATCCTGATAAATCAAAGCTAAGTTACTGTAGCTTGTTGCAACATTAACATGTTCCGGGCCGAGCTTGTCCAGTTCAATGTCTAAAGCACGTTGCTGATACTCCTTGGCTTGCTCAAAGTCACCTAAATCCCGGTAAATCAAAGCCAAGTTACTGTAGCTTGTTGCAACGTTAACATGTTCCGGGCCGAGCTCGTCCAGTTGGATGTCTAGAGCAAGTTGCTGATTCTCCTTAGCTTGCTCAAAGTCACCTAAATCCTGGTAAATCAAAGCTAAGTTACTGCAGCTTGTTGCAACATCAACATGGTCCGGGCCGAGCTTGTCCAGTTGGATGTCTAGAGCAAGTTGCTGATTCTCCTTAGCTTGCTCAAAGTCACCTAAATCCTGGTAAATTGAAGCTAAGTTATTATAGCTTGTTGCAACATTAACATGTTCCGGGCCGAGCTTGTCCAGTTCAATGTCTAGGGCACGTTGCTGATACTCCTTGGCTTGCTCGAAGTCACCTAAATGCTGGTAAATCAAAGCTACGTTACTGTAGCTTGTTGCAACATCAACATGCTCTGGGCCGAGCTCTTGAAGCTTAAAAGTGAGTGAATATTCAAAATATGTTTTTGCTCCTTCGAATTCACAGTGCATTTGACAAATATTTCCAAGGTTTTCGCATTTTTCGGAAATCTCCCTATCATGAACTTGAAAGAAATTATCTCGAAAAAACACTTTGTCAGTTACTATAGTTAACGCTTTCAAATGTGGAGCGATGTGTCTGGTGTTCAGTCGCTCATTCTCTGGTGGAGTTGCGACGATAAATTCGTTAAATGATGTAATGATCCCACTAACGACCTCATCGGTTTGGCTTTCTGCATACTCTCTTGCTACAGTTTTTATAGCATCATGCACTGCCTCGTGAACTCGAATAAAACAGCCACCCTCGTCATCTTGGAAGAGCAGAAGTGAGCTTCTTTTTAATCTCATGCGAATTAGCTCCTTGTCCGCTTCATCAAACTCTTCATGTGCGTTCATGATGTAACTAACTGCTATGTCGACGTTCAACGGGCGTGGATCGCAGAGGGCAAGAAAAGTGAAAAGGTGTTTTTGAACTTCGTCGGATCTCATCAGTGTTTCGACGGCTAACGTTATTGCTTTGGTCATTGAGTTTGGATAAATTGGATTGGTGTCGACAAGTATATCCTCCGTTTTCTCTCTTTTGCCTTTTTCTAAGATCTTTATGTATTCCTCCCACCCAAAATGCGTCAATACTTTGTCCTGCCTAATCTCTTTAACAAAGACGGCAGCGCCTGCTAAAGCAAGTGGTTGATAGTCCAGTCTTTGTGCTATTGTTCCTACCAGCTCGCTATCTGGGATACCAGAAAGCTTGGACAATAATGAACGGGCGTCATTGGGATCCATACCCTTACTTGCCGAGATGTGCTTAACAAAAGAGCTTTCTGAGGGAATTGATGTTGTCTCCTGGGTCGTAATCAGCAACTGGCCCCTGGCCCAAGCCTCGTTTTCAAACTGTGGTAAATGGACATGCACTGATAACATATTAGTGACATTGTCAACCACCAGTAGCCACGACGTGTAACAGGTAATTTTTGCAGCGACAAGCATCTTCAGACTAGTGATCTTTTCGTCCACGGTCGAGTCCTTTGAGCTGAGGGTTTCCACAATTGAATAGTCTGGGCACTTTAAATGGCGAGCAAATGAGGCATACGACTCCAGAAGTGAATCTGGACTTGCAGCATTTAAGGTCATTACAAATGAAGAGCCACCTGGCATTTCGTTGAGGTCGCCAAAGAATCTCTCAGCTACAAGGCCAGCTAGCTGTGATTTGCCGCTTCCAGGATTCCCTGAGATGTATAGATAACTCAACCTGTTGTCACTGGACTCATTTAGTTCCCTCAGCTGTTGGACTATTTTGGCTACTTCACTTTCACGACCACCGATTTCATGCGAAGGTTTAGGAGGGAGAACACAAAATGAGGGTGCTTCATTTTGGAGCTGATCTTCAAGGAACTGGCGCTGACTCTCTTTTTCTTGAACTTCTTGTTTCAGATTATCAACTTCTTTGAGGACCTTTGTTAAATCTTTTGCTGGAAATGTTTTCTGACATTTTAGGTCTTGAATTTTTGCAGTGGGAAGACTAAGCGCTTGAAACGCAACGTCAACCTTGCTAATAGCATTCTGAAAATCTATCTCAGAGAGACTACCTTGTGGCATGTGAGCGAATTCTTCATTCCTGAAGTTTCGTAGATCATATACATTTTTTCTGACTATTGCGATAAGACCTGGCCCGACGCAATCAGAGAAAAGGATGGCGTAAAATAGCATTGTACAATCCCATTCCTCACTGTTTCCGTTTTTCATAGTGGCCAAAAGACGAGCGTTTCTTTTTTGATTTCGAGGAGACTCTCCGTTATAAAAGTCCATTCCATTACGAGGCTCGTCTTTCCATTCTCCTTTTGTTGTTTTGTACAGTTTGTCCCATTCTTGTTTAAATATTTCTCTCAGACCCTCCGCTAGTATATAAGTGGTTACACAACAAATTCTGTAATAGTTCAGCTGTTCATCGGTATATTCGTTTAAAGAGGCCATATTTCGATGCACCTCTGATGCTTGCAATTGGAACCTTTTAGGGAAATTTATCCTGCAATTAGCAATAGTTCGGAGGGGGGGAAAATTATTAGTGATGTAAATAACACGGCGTATGAAGTAAAAATATTGACTTTCCAACACAAGCATGTTAAAGCATGACCAAGACCCAAATTTGCTAGTATATCAGTAGTTAGATAACAAATTCTCTAATAGTTTATAAACTATTAGCTGTTCATCGGTATATTCTTTTTAAGATGCCATACTTGATGTACGTCTGATGTTTCAATCTTTGGGGAAAGATTTTCTTTGCACTAAGTGACAACATACCCGTTCATCTTTTATCTGCATTAATTTTTCTTTTATAGCCACCGTTGAAGGTTTGTGATGCAAACTGATATATCGGGCAAATATAATTCACCACCTTATTTTTGTTTTCTTTCTTCATTTTTTCTATCATTCTTCCTGCCGTGAGGATCAGTTTACTGTTTTTAGTTTAATATTTGGTACACAAGATTTTACCGATCCAGGTTTCCTAAAGATCCGGCGGACCCTCACTGGTTTGTCGTTGTGGTTTTGCGGCCTTCACAAGTGTTTCTGATACCCGGGGGTTATACCCTTTATAAGCTATATAGGTGCATGTGTACCACAAGTGGTATAGTTTTATAGCCGTTTTGGTCTCATGAAAACGGATTTTGTCCATTAGAGTCTCAAAACGGGTACCTTTTTCAATGGAACCACAAGAGTTGTAAACGTTTTTTTTTGCCTGAAAACTTATGGATCAAATTCGGTTTCTGGGAAACTGCCCACCTACCCCTCCCCTAAGCTAACATTAACACTTACTTCTCAGTTAGCGCAAAATGATGGCTTAGGGGAGGGGTAGGTGGGCAGATACTACTTAGTGAAGATAAAGCTTTACCTCACTTGGACGAGGTAGTAGGTTCCCAAACCGAGTATAAGGTTTAGAGCCTGCTCTGACGATGGGTAGGCATTTTAGAGGGGGGCCCGTTTCTCGAAGTCTCGGTAACTACAGTCGAACCTCTCGGTAAGGACACCTCTCTATTACGGACAGTTTCCAATGTCTCAACAAAATTCTCATATATTTTCTTTCTATAATACGGACTCTCTCTAATACGGACAACGGACACTAAATCTCGGCTCTAGAGACAGTAAACTCATATAAACTTAACCTCTTTACACTGCGGTGATCGAGTGAATCCCGAATCCCGATCAGGTGAATCTGCACTGGGTGAATCCCGTCTGGCTGATGAGCTATGCCAGGTGGTTTCAAAAGCCCAGTCGCTGTATATCAAACAACGATTTGCGAAAGGTACACAGAGGAACATACCCAACTTATTTAAGGCTCAAATAACTAGAGATAGCATATCGATCTTTTCTATTAAATTTTGCACTGTAGTTACTGTTTACTGCACTTGCAAAATAGCATAAGACGCTTTCAGAATCTGCTTTACGTTACAACTTTTTACATTCAGTATTGCGCTGTAGCTCGTTTTAAAACAGTGATTTGTCTACGACTGTACTTACTTTGTAGCTGAGATATACAGTGTTGTATGCTACTGTTTGTACTGTGAATTAATAAATTTAAATGCAGTTTAAAGACGAGTGTGAAGCTGGTTTTAGCTACTGAACACCTAAAACTGTAAGTGGAGTCATAAAAGTGACGTCATCGTAGTGACCTCTTTCAAACGTACACCTTTCTAATACAGACACTTCGCTATTTCCGTTCGGTGTCCGTATTAGAGAGGTTCGACTGTATTAGGGCTAGATTTTATGCCCTTTTCATTAGAAAACCTTTCATTTTTTCTCCCTATTTTACCGCCACTGCTATATTTACACCCTGCAGAATAGCTGCTATTTTTGGGGGGCACAAAACGTGCGTGGAGCGCGAGACACGTGCGACGGGTGAAAGCCCTTTCTCGCGCATATCAGTCACCCACCTAAAATGGGGAAGACGCCTGTTATACAGGCTACTTTATATTCAGTTTCCCTCTCCAATTCAATTGGATTTACTTTACACAATAAATATTTTAACTAAACTAAGGCCTAATATTTGTAGGGGACATAACTATGCAAAACAGTCCGTCATGCTTCACCTGTAGAGACTCTCTATGAATATTATAGAGTTTCGGTGGTAAACGAACGATCAGAACATAAAGCTTATGGCTTTTGGTTTCGTTTTTAGAAGTTTTACAAAGATCTAAAGAGAGTTGACGTCAATAAGTTACTTCAAGCCCACTTAATCTAAGTGCGCAGCAGTTCTCTTATACTGGCTCTACGTTGGTAACTTTTGCCGCAGGTCGAAGCAAATGTTTTCACTTCGTTTTGCTTCCAGACCGTTCCAAAACCAGAGCTTACTTCGGCAGCTCGAACAATGGACCGAAACAGTCAAAAATGGTCACGAAAATGCTGTCATTCTTTACCATTTGCTGCGAAAGTCTCCGATCGATGTTCTTTTGAACAGTTTCATAATTTGAATAAGCGACAAGGAAGCTTCCCGCATCATTCAATCCCACCATGTAACTTATACAAATGAAAGGTTTTTTTGACCGCGTGTAGAAACACAGCTGCTTATTGCATTATTTTTCTTACCGTTTGGAACTCCTGACTCAGGCAGCAAATTTCGAAGATACCAAGTCTTTATGAGCTATCATTGAGCTTCCGCTGGAATGACGAAGGGAAACAGGCTGTCAAAACGAAAGCGGAATGTTTTAAATGTTTTAAGGCGTGACGACTGTTTTTATGTTCATCATCATACCTTTCAATTATGCATCACTGACCAAGCGTGAGGTCAGTATGACTGGATATATGGCCAAATTCCTTTTTTTGCATTTTGCTAGACTTTCTAGAAGTCCTTTATTTTTTCCTGGTTGGTTATGCCACGAGACTTCGTCGCTCGTTCGGTCGCTGCGGGACCTCATGCATTGAAGCACGTCTTCGCTCACTTTTAAGAACTTATGAGAGGTCGACTTGTAGCAAGTCTAGCATTTTGTTTACCGAGACGAGTCGAGGCCCATAAAAAAAGAACGACGCCAATATCTAGCTATCTTGACCGAAGAAGCTTGGTCAATGAAGGATCTATTTTATGGCCATATTTCCGTGGTTTTGATTCACAACGGATCGTCTTACTCTTACCGTATTTATTCGAATGAGCGCCAAACCTCGAATTAGCCCCCACCTCGAATAAGCACCCACCCCCTTCTCTTCCCAATCAAACTCAAATAAGCCCTCACCCCCACCCCACCCACCCGAGTGAATAAATTCTAATAAGAGACTTTCCCGAGGACGGAGTTTTCTTCAGAGTATTTTACAGAAACCTTGCTTTGTTACTTCTTCGCGTTTTGTTATTAGCATTTATTTTTTTTGTTGCAAAATAAACATACTTCACTTGCTGAAAATGTTGAAAATTTAATAAGCGCCCACTCTCAAGGTCCAAGAATTTAATAAGCGCCCAGGGCGCGTAATCGAACAAATACGGTATTTAGTATTTTACCAGTAGGCAGGCTACCAAAACACTGATTTATCTCGCTTACCCTTCCCAGCCTCCTTTGCGTCAACGCTAAACGTTCCCATTGTCCACTGCGCGATACTATCGCTAGCAGTCGCGTTTTTAGAAACGAGGCAGTTTATCCAATTATATCGAGTACTGACATCTTTAAGACTAACAGAAAACTACTAAGGATGAGGTGTGTTGACAAGATACCCGCATGACCGGTATGGGATCAAATAGCGCGCGCACATCACGATGCCTCGAACATTTCGGATGGTGGGCCTGTGGCACGACTTAAAGACAGATCTCTCTCCCATTCCTGTGAAGGAAGTTACCAACTTGTGCCTTGAATAGACCTTTTTAACTGAATGTTTTGTTTTCAGATCAGGCAATCCCGGAATTTACTTTTTGTGTCGCATAAATCATGCACACATATACGCGTGCATGCACGCGAACGCGCGCGCGAGCAGTCAAAGGAAAGGTCTGGGGTGAGGTTGCAAACGGAGAGTGAGACTGGAGAGAGACACACGCCCCATGGGCGTGTGAAGCCCAAGTGCTTAGCACGAAAATATCGATCATGCCAGCGCTTCGCACCTTGCAGAACCGATTTTGAGAAAAGTACGACTGTTTTGCAGTCTAAGAGGTCTATTGACAAAATACAGTGATTTGTATGAAATTTTATCCCAAGCTCGTTTCATTGAAATGGAACAATGGAATGCAGAAAGGTTTATGAACTGTTTAGAGTCGCCTGCTTACCAAGTATAGCCTGGGGATGAGTATAAAATACACTTAGGGAGTGGGGGACGGTTGAACCCGACGCCCACCCCCTCGGTACATTTTGAAAGCAAGATGGCCTCCCGTAACTGTAGGTGCTCGGTCTCGACAATCTTACGGGAGAATAGGTTACTGTGGACAGTCTAAAAGATCTTTTGGTAGCAGATCCTCTTCAGTCGTGATCTGTACCGGGATAAGATCAGGAACTTGTGCAGCAAAACCTCACTTTACGGACACCCGCTTAATACGGACACCTCGTTATTACGGACAGTTTGGCTGGTGCACGATATACCAAGTGAATAGCAAGTCTCGAGTTACGCCACAAAGAACACAACAATGATCCCTTGCCCTTTCACAATAACACAATAAACTTCACACAATAGAACGAGACAATAGTGCATATATTGACTTAGTATATCGAACATCACCAGACAGTTTGCTTTGTCCCTGGGGAAAGAAAGTCCCTACATTTTCTCTAAATTCAACCCACTTAATACGGACACCTCTTTATTACGGACAGTTTGCTTTGTCCCTGGGGAAAGAAAATCCCTACATTTTCTCTAAATTCAACCCACTTAATACGGACACCTCGTTATTACAGACAGTTTGCTTTGTCCCTGGTGAAAGAAAGCCTTTACATTTTCTCTAAATTCAACCCGCTTCATACGGACATCTTGTTACTACGGACACTTTCTATGGCCCCCTCAGTGTCGTTATTAACGGGGTTTGACTGTACTGGCTCGATACATCATTAGATCCCATCCACCGTAGTCCCTTCGGACACCTCATGAAATTCACATAACGTAATTTTCCTCGTTATGTATTTGGGTAAAGCACTGCCTTTACTGATTATTGTTAATTATTGTTTTTACTGATTAGGGTTAAGCGCTCGTTCGAAACTGGTTAGGTTCTTTTTTTGAGTTGGGGTTGATGCTCTATGTACTTAAATTATTTCCTCTCCATCCATCAAATCCGCAGTGGTCTAGTGATTAGCGTGGTATACTAGGTTTTCTAGGTCGTGGGATCAAAACTTCCCCTCTTCGTATCAGTTTTCTTTTCTTTCCAATTGAAGAGACTTACACTTTCATGAACATTTCCAGCTTGAAATATCATCTAAGTGTGATATAAAAACAGAGAACAGTTCTACCTTGTGTAAATTTCGTAAGGGGAGAAAGGGGCTACGGCCGATGGGATCTAAACAAAAGTAAAGGAAATTCGCCACCAATTCGCCAATTTCCTTCATTTTTAATTTCTGATCACGTGGCATGTCACGTGACCATAATTAAACGTTAAGGCATAAGAAGACCTCAAGATTTACTTTTGGGAAAAAATTCATTTTGTTCTAGGTCTCTTAGCGAGAGATACCGCCAATCATTCATACGCTCCGAAAACACCATTGACCCAGGCCTTAAACCCATTGAGAACTTTGCATCCTTTTCAGCTGCTGTAAATGCATTGTCTTTTAAATAGGTATAAATCAAAAAGAAATAGAACGTTTTCTCGAGTTTCAAAAAGACATAAAATTTATCTGTTAGCCCTTTTGGGCCGTTTCACAGACCCAAATGACAGATTTCCCTATCTTTTTTTAGTAAAATCCAACTAGTGGTCTATTATCAATACTGCGTTCCGACTGGTTGAGCTACTACTAGGCTATACGTTATAGCCCACTAGTAGAGAAAAGCGCTTGATTTGAAAACCAAAAACAATGGCGGCTGAATCGCGTTTTTCTAGCTAAAGTTGTTTTGTCTCGATATTTTTGACCAACTAGTTGGATTTTACTAAAACAATTATTCCTCTCGCCCTCATTGCCTCTGAGTCAATAGCCCATTCGGCCTTCGGCCTCAGGGCTATTGACTCAGCACTCAGAGCCCATTCGGGGTCGAGGAATAAGTGTTAAATACACTTCAACCAGTGAACTCCCTACCCTTTTATATACCTGAAGCCTAAACTGAAGATACCCCTTTCGGGCGGAGCCTCCCCGTATAGGCCATCATAGCAATAAAAGGGGGTGGTAGGCCTACACGACTTTTACCTCATGCCAAAATGTTGCTTATTCCAATGAAGTTGTTTGTATCTGCTGGGTAGATTATGCTCTGGAAGGTTCTGCATTTTACTGAGCAAATGTGGTTTTAGCCGCATGTTTCACACTGAGAGGTCATGACATATATATCGATTGACTGTAGTTATTGTTTTCTGTTCGGCAGGATTTGCCCTGTGATGCAAGCGCATATTCTTTGACCTCTTTTGAAGCGTAAAGCTTTTTTTTATTACGGCTGAATAAGGGTTCCAATTTTCTCCAAAGTGCCTTCTGGATCTGATATAAGCGATTTTCTTTACTCCGTGAGTGTAATGTTTTTCTGCAATGCTGTATCACGCTGGGCCCAGCTCGTCAGTTTTCTTTGCAGAATGTTAAATTATCACGGATAGTGACTTACAGATCCAAAATTATAAGAGTGAAATGCAGCTTAAACTGAAGCTACATAAACTTACTATGGAGAATTGAATTGTGACTCAGTAAACTCCAGCTTAGTGTTTTTCTAAAGATAGTGTGAGGCTTTTGGGAGTACCTCCCCCCCCCCTCAAGATGCATAATGTATTTTTAAAAGACTTTTTACACAGGATGTTTTAACAATCTTCACGTGCGTGCTTCTGATCGGTGTATGTTGTAAACGTATTCAACGTTATTCATGTAATTCAGACCTCAGACCTGTCTATATATTATAATTCAATACAACTGGACACGCATGGAGTACATGGATATCAGGGATATTATTATAACGATAGACATTCCAGTGCGTTCTCAGTTCAGAAGAGTAGAGTGTACATCGATTTAATAGAGCAATTAATAATCAGACCTATAGCTTTAACCCATAAGAACGGATCGTATCATTTTTTTTTAGGATCTCTAAAGTAATTTGAAATGACTTTGCTTGTTTTGCTTTTGACGCTTGTCAAATCGTGTTTTATTCCCTTTCTGGGAACTGTTGGAGTACTGATGTAGCTCATTCCCTGCCAAAACACGTTTCATTTAACTTTAAGGCAAACGCATATAAACAGCAATGCGCTTGCGCTAATATCGTCTGGATTGTAGGTTGAACATATGACCGATTGTTAAAGTTTTAACTGCTTCTATTGTCGACTGCTTTTAGATGGGGCCAGATAAAAACACATTCACTTGAATTCTGACCGTGCCGAAATTTCCAAATATGATAGCCTATATGACTGATGTTTTTGCAAATCATGTGGAAAATTAACTTAAACATTTCTAATGCAACAACTTTCGCTATGCATCATCAAGGGTCCTTCAATTTTACACGACCGCTTGCGTAGCTTGTGGCTCACACTCAAAGCCTTCATGTAACGTGTATGCGACAGTTAGTGCTTTGATGTTCACCACATCCTTGCGTTCAACATAATAGAGTTTCCCTTTACATCTTTAACCGTTGCTGATGGCCAAACATTTATACTTGATTGTTTGCACACTACTAAGCACCGTCACAAAAGGGAAGTCGGACACTTTCAAGGTTAAACACCCAATTCTACATTTCTTGTACCCTAGAGTAAGTCAAGAAGCCTTGGACTGGCCGTTGTATTAAATGAATTGTAGTACTATAATATAAGTTGAAATTACTGAAAACAGAGTTGTTTCAACTTTATATACTTACCTGTTGTAGCTTTAGTCAGGCACCAGGAAGGCAGCCCGACAGTAAAGAGGTTTCGCTTGAATCACGAAGGGAAAACTATCAAAACGAAAGCAGGAAGTTTGAACATTCCTTGGCGTGGCGTCTGGTTTTATTTTTATTAGCGATTACAGCACATATTTGTTCACGCAATTCCACAGGTCATGGCCAGGGGGTACACTCGAGTAAATTGGAAGGGAGTTGAGGGTCAGGAAATATACCCGGAAATCCCAAATCCCTATTATTATTATGATTATCATTACTATTGCTATTATTATTATTCTTCTTCTTCTTATTATTATTATTATTGTTATTATTATTATTATTATTAACTGCGCGACTTGGAAGCAGAGATGCAAAGGATGGTCTGTAATGATGTGGAAGTAGAGTTGGTCCTTCAGGAGGTCACTGGGGAGACATTAAATCATGGCGCTAACAAAGCCCCTGATGCCCGTTTGGATATTCATGCTCGAGGTTTTTGGGAGAGACAGAGATCTACATTCTTCGACGTTCAGGTGTGTCACCCCAATGCAGACTCTATCAGAGACTTGACTCCTAAGCAAATCTACAAGAAGCATGATAACGAGAAGAAGAGGCGGTATGCGGAAAGAGCGATGGAGATCGAACAGGGAACTTTCACTCCCCTATAGTTTTCACAACAACAGGTGGAATGGCGGATGAGTGTGCTAAGTATCACAGTAGACTTGGGGAGCTGATCGCAAATAAGAAAGGAGAAAGTTACTCAAGCGCAATTTCCTGGATAAGATCCAGAAGACGACAGCTAGACTTTGTTGACTCAGACCTACAGATCAAAAATATTAGAGCCTGCCCGAATTGACAAATTGATTGATTCTTTTTTTTAAAGAACGTTTTTTAAAGAATTAGGAATTTAGGAATACGAGATTTTGTTCTTTTTAACTTCTTTCTATTTAATATCAGAGATGGATGATTCTAAATTTAAAACTCTGGACCGGCTGCGAGAGTTATTGATCGCATCTGAGCCGCGAGGAATTTATCTGGGAAATCGCTATTGACACACTGATTGTATATTTTTATGATTTATGTAATTCTTAATGTTATCTAGTGCTTAATTATTATTATTATTATTATTATTATTATTATTATTATTATTATTATTATTATTATTATTATCTCTTCTGTCACAGTCTTTGCTGGTGTTCTTTTTGTGCCTCAGCCGGGCGCAAACCATACACCTGGAGCATCAGTCACTCAAGTCAATCATTGTGTTCATACACTAAGCAACTTCCTGAGGATTCACACAGATCCCAGCATGCAGATCTTTTCAATCTCTGTCACAGTAGCTCTCCCTGATACTTTCTTGATGTTTTGTACCACCCCCTTCTTTGCTGTACCAAGCGCACCAACAAACACGGAGATCACTTTACAGTAAAAACCCACGAGTAAGAACCAAAGATTTAAGAACCTGTTAGGCTAAAATTTGCAATTTAGACCCCCTCTATATAATAACCTCTTTAGCCTAAAATTTGGAGAAAGGTTCTTATTTTCAAAAACCATTTAAGAATATTTATTAACATGATTAATTGCAGTTGCAAAAGGCAAGTTAGTACATATATAAATGTTGTTTGATTGATCGAGGTCATTGAGAAAATGTTTATAATATTGTGTTTTACAGCACAATCATGTATATAAAGTTGTTTTGACTCAAGAAATTAAAATTCATGTGAGAATAGATCTCTATTATGGTCTTGTTAAAATAATTATAAGCAACATTAGGTATGCAAATTAAAGGGCGCTGATCACTAAAATCTTCTTAGCAACGACATAATTTTTTGCAAGAAATTAGGAACCTATTAAGAACCTAGATAGCCTAAATTTATGTTAACCACCATTTATGTAAGAACCTGTTTAGGCTAACCCTGGAAAATGTAGGTTCTTACTCGTGGGTTTTTACTGTATTTATAGTTCTTTGTACTTGGCTTTCTTATTCTTATTCTTATTATGTTATTATATATTATTAAGTACTGGAGAAAACTGGACGTTTTTCCAGTCGAAATTAAGCCTTTGGTTAATGATATCTCTTTTCACATCTAAACTGTATGGGTTGGCAAGTTTAAGAAGCATACTTGAGATTTTCCTAGTCTATAGTACTGTTCTTGAAGGGTACTTTTAACTGGGATGTTCTTGGCCAGTTTTTCACCCATTGAGCAGAAATGCTGATTCATTTTATCGCCCAGATTGCTATCTCTGTTTTTTTCATTACCGGTAAATAATTAGCCCCCACAAGAAACACAGGAAAAGATAACAGATTCCCATTATTAGATATTTTAGGGTATTTAAAGAATACCCATAAAAATCCCAAATTTGGCAAAGTGAGACAAGTCCCAACAGGGAATTCCCAACCAAGTTCCCTGATTGGGACTTCTCTCACTCTTCCAAATTTGGGATTTTTGTGGGTATTCTTTAAATACCCTAAAATATCCAAAAATGGGAATCGGTTATTTTTTCCTGTGAAAACTCACTAATCAGTGTTGTCTTAGATCAAGTTTGACTTAACGTTAATCGTGGGACAGTGACAAAAGAAAATGCCAAAGAGTGGTGCGTGCTGCACGTTCAAGGGTTTTTTTTGCGTCTTAGATTCAGTGTAGATTTGCTGCTATTTCATTTTCTCGCTTTCTTCACTGTCGTGTTTGCTTGAGCTCGCTTGTAGCGTTACCTCGCAATCCTTCATTTGCGACCATTTCGTTGAAAACCAACAATTGGATGGAAAACGTGCAAATGTTAAGTGTGCCGTTTCAGCCTGTCCGGATTCCTGTGACCTAAATTTCTCTAGTAATCGGTTCCTGGTATAGAGTGTTCACACTTACGTGGCCATCATCTATGCAACTTCATTGGAACAAAACAAAGGGTTTATATAAGAAAAGAGTTCAACTCACACGGAATTGGCTAGGGAAGACAACATGGCCGTCGTTTCATTGTCCTGGAACATTAATATGGACTCCATGAAGTCAATTATTTAACAATTAATGAATGAGGCTGAGTATCTTATGAAGAATTATGGAGATCGAGGAGGGTGTTATCCGTCGAGGCCGTAGGCCGAGGCCGATAACACCGTCCGAGATCTCCACAATTCTTCATGTGATACGAAAGCCGAATTCAATAATTGTTTTATTATTCATTCAAAATAATTCCTTGTCTCCAGGTCTTCTCGGTTAACGGTGCATTAACCTGCAAGAACCCTGCATTTTTGACGTCATTTCCTCGTTAAACACAAAATTCTTCCAAATTTGGTCGTCAGTAACTTGTTGTGGTGAATTATGCGTGTGCTTTAAGCCAATCAGAATCGGAGAAATATTTCGAATGAATAATAAAAACACCGTCTTTATTATTTTATTGTTGACTCACAATCGTACCCCCTGACGTCAAAATGCAACCGGACGAGGACGATTATGGTGACGAGATTTGACTTAAAGTTTTCTTTCTGTTTGTTGTTGTTGTTGTTAGTTTGTTTGTTTGTTTGTTTTTTTGCATATTGTAAAACATAAAATAGACAACACAGAAGCTTCTATTCCCATGTTTTTTTACCAAAAAAGATGGCGCTGTTGTTTTTACAGAAAAAAAGTTAAGCCCTCTCCTGGCCACTTCTAACATTTGATAACTTACAAGTTCCCGTCACTACGAAACCCGTAAATGACGACGGCTGTCACATTTTCCCACCAAACCCACCTCAGTTTACGCGTGCACTACTTTAGCTGGTATTAAGCAAATCTCGTCATCGTAATCGTTCCCGTCTTAAAATCTAAAGATCTCTATCAATATTCTTGCAGACGGCACAAATTAAACTGTGGTAAAAAATCAAGTTCCCACGAGCAAAACTCCATAATCCAGTTATTTCATACTTTAATATTTTGCTAGCCTACGAAAAAATATAATACAGCCGTCTCGCCTCGCTCCTCGACGCCAGGAACGTTTCACTGAGGCTACCTTTTGCCGGCTCGTTGATATAAAAGTGCTCAATCAGTACACGAAATGTAGGCACAATTCTCCATTGTTTTTAAATAATTTGCTTGATTGATACGTTTTACTCTTCGACAAACTTAAAAACCCTTAGTGTGTGAGTCTAATTTAGATTTAACTTAACCTGGGCCTCTCTTTTTCGCTAGATCGCATATTTTCCTTTCTCAGAGGGCAAACAAAAGCCTGAAAAGGGCACTTAACAAACTACAATCTATATCACGCTTAGCCTGACCAATTTTTTACTTAAAACAGTAAAAATTATAGTACAGTAAAAGGCTACCATAACACTAATTTTCCTAATTACAAAAATGAACGTGAATATTGATTATTGACATCTACAAAGTGGACAGCAACTTTCAGACTTCTTCTTTCTCTTCTTGGCACCTTTACAACAACAAAAAAGGCATCATATAGAAGCCAAAACTACCCAATATTTGTTGCCCTTGTATCTCATAACGCGCTTAGCACCGCTTGAGGGCGTAATGATCTATTAAGGGGCAAGGGGGGCACTTGCCTTATTTATATTTTCAACTCTAAGGAATTAAAGAAAGAAGAGAAAGAGTCTAGATTTAAGCAAGAGATCATAATGTCTTTATAATGTTGGTTTTAAGGGAGTTCATTATTGTGTCTTGAATTTTGAAACAGGTCCTAGGGAAAAATGCGCGTACTTATATCTGACCATATTTGGACAGTTTGATGCCAAATCTGGCTGTGACGTCACCAGGGCACGCTCAATGTCAAGTAACCCAATTTAAAAAATTGAGGTTTTACTCAGAAACGTACATTTTGGTTCGTCACATTTAGTTTTACCGTGGTCCTTATGAAATGATTATGATAATACTGATGATGATGATGATGCTCAGGATAGCGATGATGATGATGATGATGATGCTCAGAGCATTAAAGAGGTTATATGGTGAAATGTAACCTTGCAAAGAAGCAGTGACATACTCCCATATAGAGCATACAAGTGAACAATTCAAGACTACATTACACAAGCAATAATTATAATAATAATAATATTTAATACTTCTACAGAACATTTTAACATAGTGATCTGATGAAATCTGCATACACAAAAATGAGACTTACATAGCCTATATTATACTACCCGCTCAAATAACTGAAATTATTGACACTTTCAATTGCTACATCAATAATTTAGCATTACTAAAAACGAGCAAAACATAAAGAAAAAAGGAAATAAAAGTTGAAAGTGAAAGAACCTCTGATAACTCAACCAAGTCGCCGTACGCTTCAATAAAATAGCAAAAAAACTAATCGAAATTCTTCCCTTTCCTAATGTAGTCCGGTAAGACGTTCCATATCTTTGGAGCAGCTGCAGTAAATGATTAAGGGCCCATTATAAGGTAGTATCCTTTATAGCAGATGTTACTTAACTTTAATATTTCCCGCTTCTCGTTTGGCTAGTATAACTTAGGCTGTTACACAACGGGAAGAAGAGAAGAGAAGAAACCAACTGACAGAAAAGAAGAGAGGGCAAAAAGAGAACTGAAGAAGCACAGTAGAGGCAGAAAAAAACGACAGACAAGGTGATGCAACTGGTGCACGGTAGCCTGTGTATAGCTAACCACTCCCTTTAAACAACTTCAAGCAAAGGCGTTTTTGAGTGACGCACATCAACCGGAAGTGAACTTTTTGCCGTTCTCGGGCAGTGGTTGCGGCCAAATTTTCGGGCAGATCGTCTCTACAAGATTAGAGAAACTTAACGATACAAATTTGTTATAGGAATCAAGGCATATTAAAAGAGAAGAGACTTTACCTCCGGTTGACGTTCGTTGCTCAAAAACGTCTCTGCTTAAGCTCCATAATGTTTTAGGGGAGGGGTGGCTAAAAACAGGCTAGATCACAGCAACAGCAGCAGACAAAGACAGATATTGGGGATTAAAAGGTCAAACTATCTCACCATCCAAAGATGCAAAGTTGTCAGATATGTGATCTTCTTCCTGTGAATCCAGGTAACCATCTCCCTCAGAAGACACATCACTATCTGCATCGGAACCTTTCTTAGCCTTCTGCCGCTTTTGTCCAACATTGTGTTTGTCTCTATGCCAATGAGCTCTTTTGTCTGTGTAAGAAACGAGTAGTTCAACTTCTAATGCACAAGATATGAGGCAAGTCAAAAGTTGACCAAAACATATCCTTTTTATGAGAACTAAAATACGTGCGGCTACATTACCCATCTTACCCACCGGCAAATGGCTCTTGCCCACGGGGAAGCAACTTTTTGTGTCTGACCGATTTTCCCAAGGAGAAATTGCCCCGAGGAAATTTCCATGGATACATCAATCCGAACAAAAGAATTACCCATGACAGTTCCCGAAGTAAGTGCTATTGGTTAATAAGAACCTAAAGCGGCTCAGCCAATCAGGAGAGACTGAAACGTACCAAATTAGTAGAAATCACGTGTTGTTTACGTGCTGAGTTCGTCGCTTGGTGCCAAATCCAGCGCGAAACTGGACTCAATTTTCAAGCGCTGCGGCTATTTCCCTAAGGGGAGCTTTGGGGAAATAGTCTAGTGTAACCCCACCTAATGTTTTGTATCTCGGATCAGTGGAATACCTAATTCGCTGTGAACTCGTTTGCTTTAAGTAGCTAAATGGTTTTCTACGGTCTGGGCTGTAAGCCTCGAGCTCGGCTTGCTACCATAAGTGAAAAACATTGTTTTGGTCTTGGGGTTAGCAAACTTGAAAATACCTTTTAATAAATCGCGGTGTTGAACTCCACCTGAAGTTTGTTTGAACTGAAGCAACCCAAAATCCGAAATTGTGTTTGCCTGGAAATTTCTTTTTGGATGTAGGTGACTTTTGACTTAGGGCACTTTTCTTTGAGAACATCCAAACGCGGATTCTGCCTTTCTCTACTAACACTGAAAATAATACTCTCAAAAGATTTCATGATAGATTAAATCTGATCCAGCCGCATATATATTCTCAATCAGTGAGTTTCTTTGGGCATGGGTCCGAAAAAAATACACATATATTTATACTTTAAAAGCATAAGGCCTGCTACGTTCTTACAGGAGTCACAGGCGTTTCACACAAATATTTTTGGAACGCTGAAGAATCCATCTCCCTGTTTTTGCTCACGTTTCCTTTGACGCGTCAAGTCCAAAGACTGTAGTGTGAGTTTATGCAACGATTAAGCCTGATTACAAGTTAGCACGAGGAGACATTTTAAACTTAATAATGATTTTTGCTTTACCTTCCTCACTACTGTCTTTATCATCATCCTCGTCCTCATCATCTTCTTTCTTGGATTGTGATAAATGCCTTTCAGCTTCATGAGTAATCTGCAAGGACTAACAGGTTTTTTTCATTAGAAGAAACTTCAAGATATGGAAGGCAGGAATAGAGATCGAGCGTTAACGGAAACCGTTACAGTCAAACCTGAATTAAAAGGTGTTCTACCAACGTCCCAAATATCGATTCCATAATTAATATATGTAAAACGTTTTAGAGTTTATCAAATTAAAATCATTAATAAAGAATAAACGAATTTCATAAATTGGAACTGCCGACCAAAGAATACATCAAAGATCCTTGCAGTTTAAGGCACAACGTATGCTGCTGTGAAAAAAAGCCTGAAAAGTTCAGTCTTTTTAGATTTTAACAAATTTCAAAGACACAGGGCCAAAGCGATAACCCTTCAAGACTGCGTAAAATCTTTCAAGAAGAAATATGATATCCATAAGTATAGTTTTTTGTGTCTGTTAGCAGTACTTACCTTATCTGGTGTTTTGTTGAGGCCGTGCTTGTCTGCTCTGATGGCCAGAGCACGTTGCTTATACTCCTTGCTTTGCTCGAAGTCACCTAAAGCCTTGTAAATTAAAGCTAAGTTATTATAGCTCCTTGCAACATCAACATGTTCCGGGCCGAGCTTGTCCAGTTGGATGTCTAAAGCACGTTGCTGATACTCCATGGCTTGCTTGAAGTCACCTAATTTCTTGTAAATTGAAGCTAAGTTATTATAGCTTCTTGCAACATCAACATGTTCCGGGCCGAGCTTGTCCAGTCGAATGTCTAAAGCACGTTGCTGATACTCCCTGGCTTGCTCGAAGTCACCTAATTTCTCGTAAATTGAAGCAAAGTTATTATAGTTTGTTGCAACATCAACATGTTCCGGGCCGAGCTTGTCCAGTTGGATGTCTAAAGCACGTTGCTGATACTCCCTGGCTTGCTCGAAGTCACCTAATTTCTTGTAAATTGAAGCTAAGTTATGATAGCTTGCTGCAACATGAACATGTTCCGGGCCGAGCTTGTCCAGTCGGATGTCTAAAGCACGTTGCTGATACTCTATGGCTTGCTCGAAGTCACCTAATTTCTTGTAAATTGAAGCTAAGTTATTATAGCTTCTTGCAACATCAACATGTTCCGGGCCGAGCTTGTCCAGTTGGATGTCTAAAGCACGTTGCTGATACTCCCTGGCTTGCTCGAAGTCACCTAATTTCTCGTAAATTGAAGCAAAGTTATTATAGCTTGCTGCAGCACTAACATGTTCCGGGCCGAGCTTGTCCAGTTGGATGTCTAAAGCACGTTGCTGATACTCCATGGCTTTCTCGAAGTCACCTAATTTCTTGTAAATTGAAGCTAAGTTATTATAGCTTCTTGCAACATTAACATGCTCCGGGCCGAGCTCTTGAAGCTTAAAAGCGAGTGAATATTCAAAATATGTTTTTGCTCCTCCAAATTCACAATGCATTTTACAAATATTTCCAAGGTTTTCGCATTTTTCGGAAATCTCCTTATCATGAACTTGAAAGAAATTATCTCGCAAAAACACTTTGTCAGTTGCTATAGTTAAAACTTTCAAATGTGGAGCGATGTGTCTAGTGTTTAGTCGCTCATTATCTGGTGGAGTTGCGACGATAAATTCGTTAAATGATGTAATGACCCCACTAACGACCTCATCGGTTTGGATTTCTGCATACTCTTTTGCTACAGTTTTTATAGCATCATGCACAACCTGGTGAAGTCGAATAAAACAGCCACCATCTTCATCTTGGAACAGCAGAAGTGAGCTTGTTCTTAATCTCATGCGAATTAATTCTTTTTCCGCTTCATCAAACTCTTCATGTGCGTTCATGATGTAAGTAACTGCTATGTCGACGTTCAATGGCCGTGGAGCGCAGAGGGCAAGAAAAGTGAAAAGGTGTTTTTGAAATTTGTTGGATCTCATCAGTGTTTCGACGGCTAAAGTTATTGCTTTGGTCATTGAATTTGGGTAAATTGGATTGGTGTCAACAAGTGCATCCTCCGTTTTCTGTCTTTTGCCTTTTTCTAAGATCTTTAGGTATTCCTCCCACCCAAAATGCGTTGATGCTTTGTCCTGACGAATCTGTTTAACAAAGACGGCAGCGCCTGCTAAAGCAAGAGGTTGGTAATCCAGTCTTTGTGCTACTGTTCCTACCAGCTCGCTATCTGGGATACCAGAAAGCTTGGACAATAATGAACGTGCATCATCGGGCTCCATACCCTCGCTTACTGAAATGTGATTAACGAAGGAGCTTTTTGAGGGTATTGACGCTGTGTCCTGCGTGGTAATGAGCAAATGGCCTCTTTCCCAAGCCTTTGAATTAAACTGTGGTAAATGGACATGCACAGATGACATGGCAGTGACATTGTCAACCACCAGTAGCCACGACGTGTAACAGGTAATGTTTACAGCGACAAGCATCTTAAGACTAGTGATCTTTTCGTCGACGGTCGAGTCCTTTGAGCTGAGGGTTTCCACAATTGAATAGTCTGGGCACTTTAAATGGCGAGCAAATGAGGCATACGACTCCAGAAGTGAATCTAGACTTGCAGCATTTAAGGTCATTACAAATGAAGACCCACCTGGCATTTCTTTGAGGTCGTCAAAGAATCTCTCAGCTACAAGGCTAGCTAGCTGTGATTTCCCGCTTCCAGGATTCCCTGAGATGTATAGATGACTCAACCTGTTGTCACTGGACTCATTTAGTTCCCTCAGCTGTTGGACTATTTGGGCTACTTCACTTTCACGACCACCGATTTCATGCGAAGGTTTAGGAGGGAGAACACAAAATAAGGGTGCTTCATTTTGCAGCTGATCTTGAAGGACCTGGCGCTGACTCTCTTTTTCTTGAACTTCTTGTTTCAGATTATCAACTTCTTTGAGGACCTTTGTTAAGTCTTTTGTTGGAAATGTTTTCTGACATTTTAGGTCTTGAATTTTTACAGTGGGAAGTCTAAGCGCTTGAAACGCAACATCAACCTTGCTAATAGCATTCTGAAAATCTATCTCAGGGAGACTACCTTGTGGCATGTGAGCGAATTCTTCATTCCTGAAATTTCGTAGATCATCTATCTTTTTTCTGACTATTACGCTAAGACCTGGCCCGACGCAATCAGAGAAAAGGATGGCGTAAAATAGCATGGTACAATCCCATTTCCCACTGTTTCCGTTTTTCATCGTGGCCAAAAGACGAGCGTTTCTTTTTTGATTTCGAGAAGACTCTCCGTGATAAAAGTCCATTCCATTAAGAGGCTCGTCTTTCCATTCTCCTTTTGTTGTTTTGTACAGTTTGTCCCATTCTTGTTTAAATATTTCTCTCAGACCCTCCGCTAGTATATCAGTAGTTACATAACAAATTCTGTAATAGTTCAGCTGTTCATCGGTATATTCGTTTGAAGAGGTCATATCTGATGCACCTCTGATCTGATGCTTGGAACCTTTTAGGAAAATGAATCCTGCAATTAGCAAATTAGTTCAGAGGGGGAAAAATTATCAGTGACGTACGTAGATAACGCGGTGTATGAAGTAAAAACATTGACTTCTCAACGCTAGCATGTCAGATGACCAAAAGCCAAATTTGCTAATATATCAGTAGTTGGGTAACAAATTCTGTAATAGTTTAGCTGTTCATCGGTATATTCTTTTGAAGATGCCATACTTGATGTACGTTTGATGCTTCAATCTTTGGGGAAAGATTTACTCTGCAATTAGTGACAACATACCCGAGGGTAATACCCTTTGTAAGCTATATAGGTGTGTACTACAAACGGTATGGTTTTTTTTAGCCGTTTTGGTCTCACGAAAACGGATTTTGCCCGTTAGAGTCTTAAAACGGGAACCGTTTTCAATGGAACAACAAGAGTTTATAAACGTATTTTTGCCGAAATACTTATGAATCAATTTAGGTTTCTGGGAAACTGCCCACTTACCCCTCCCTAAGCCATCGTTTTGCCCTAAGTGAGAAGTAAGTGTTAATTTTAGCTTAGGGGAGGGGTAGTTGGGCAGTTTCCCAAAAACCTAAATTGATCCAAACTTATTCAGAGTCAGATACTACTAAATAAAGTTTAGAGCCAGCTCTGACAATGGCCATGGGTAGGCTTTTTAGAGGGAGGCCCTTTTCTCGAAAGTCTCGGTAACTAGTAGGACTAATTTTATGCCCTTTTCATCAGATCATCTTTTATTTTTTCTCCTTATTTTACCACCACTCCTTTATTTGCAGCCTGCAGAATAGCCGCTATTTTTTTTGGGCACAAAGCGTGAGTGGAGAGCGAGACACGCGCGGCTGGTGAAAGCGCTTTCTCGCGCTCCGCGCTCGCTTCGCGCATATCTTCACTCGCCTAAAAAACGTGTTCTACAGGCTATTTTATATTCAGTTTCCATTTCCAGTCCAGTAGGATTTACTTTACACTAGAAATATTTTAACTAAACTAAGGCCGAATACTTGTAGGACATAACTATGCAAAACAGTCCGTCATGCTTCATCTGTAGAGACTCTCGATGAAGATTAAAAAGTTTCGGTGGTAAACGAACGATCAGAACATAAAGCTTATGGCTTTTGGTTTCTTTTTGAAAAGTTTAACAAAGATCAAAAGAGCGTTAACGTCGAAAAGTTACTTCTGAGTGCGCAATAGTTCTTTTGTATTGGCTCCACGTTATTGTCGCAGGTCGAAGCTTGTTTTCACTTCATTTTGCTTTCAGAACGTTCCAAAACCAGAGCTTACTTCGGCAGCTCGAACAATGGACAGAAACAGTCAAAAATGGTCACAAAAAGGCTATCATTCCTTATCATTCGCTGCAAAAGTCTCCGTTTGACTTTCTTTTGAACAGTTTCATAGTTTGAATAACCGACATGAAACTTCTCGCATCGTTCAATTCCACCATGTAACTTATACAAATGAAAGGTTTTTTTTGACCGCGTGTAGAAACACGGCTGCTTATTGAGTTATTTTTCTTACCGTTTTGGAACTCCTGACTCAGACAGCAAATTTTGAAGATACCTAGTCTTTATAAGGTATCATTGAGCTTCCGCTGGAATGATGAAGGGAAACAGGCTGTGAAAACGAAAGCGGAATGTTTTAAGGCGTGACGACTATTTTTATTTTCATCATTATACCTTTCAAATATGCATTACTGACCAAGGGTGAGGTCAATATGACTGGATATATGGCCAAATTCCTTTTTTGCATTTTGTTAGACTTTCTAGAAGTCCTTTATTTTTTCCTGGTTGGTTATGCCATGAGACTTCGTCGCTCGCTGCTCGACCTTATTCATTGGAGCTCGTCTTCGCTCACTTTTAAGAACTTATGAGAGGTTGACTTGTAGCAAGTCTAGCATTTTGTTTACCGAGACGAAGTCGAGGCCGATGAGAAAAGAACGACGCCGGGCCAATATCCAGCTATCTTGACCGAACAAGCTTGGTCGATAAACTATATATTTTGTGGCCAAATTATCGTGGTTTTGATTCACAACTTTTTGTCTTGCCGTTATTTAGTGTTTTACGAGTGGGCAGACACAGACTTATATCTTCCTCCCTTACCCTTCCCAGCATCCTTTGCGTGAACGCTAAACGTTCCCATAGTCCATTGCGCGATACTATCGCTTGCAGTCGCGTTTTCTGTTCTCCAAACACACTTGAGATGAGATGCTTACGAACGAGGCAGTTTATCTAATTATATAGAGTACTGACATCTTGAAGACAAACAGAAACAGTCTACTAAGCATGAGGTGAGGTGCGTTAGATTCAAACATTTGCCCTCATGGAAACTTACACAACAACCAAACAAAAAGTAGGTATTTTTCTCCTCATGCTTTTCACCAGGCCAAATCTAAATCGCCAAATAATCGCTTTTCTGTATTTGATAATAACATAACTAGCTTGAATCAGAACCTGGAAATTTTACAAAAACACACATTTTAGAAGAAAATGATTTTCACTTCGATCTTATAGGAATCTCTGAGACGAAAATTAGAGGGACGTAGGGGACTTAGGCCCCGGTGTTGTGGTCAACCGTCACTAATCACATCATTCACATCATGGGCTGGGTGGGTACAGTAAGCTCATAAATCGACTGAGAGCGGCTGCCAGTGGCGCCTTTGTATGCTGATGTCCGAACTTACTGTTCACATGTAAAATGTGTTGTAAAAGGGCACGGCTGTTGTCCTCTCATGAACGACTCTTCATTCGTTCGTTCATTCATTCATTCATTGTCCAACGCGTGATACTATCGCCCGCAGTCGCGTTTTCCGTTCTCCAAACACACTTGAGACGCCTAGGAACGAGACAGTTTATCTAATTATATCGAGTACTGACATCTTTAAGACTAACAGAAATCTACTAAACATATCTTCACTCGCGACAAAAAGTGAAAAAAATAACGCCTGTTCGGTAGTATAGGCTACTTTATATTCAGTTTCCCTTTCCAATTCAATAGGATTTACTTTACACTAGAAATATTTTTATAACTAAACTAAGGCCGAATACTTGTAGGAAATAACCTCTACTAACTATGGCAAAACCGTCCGTCATGCTTCATCTGTAGAGACTCGATGAAGATTATAGAGTTTCGATGGTAAACGAACGTTCAGAACATAAAACGTCTGGCTTTTGGTTTCTTTTTGAAAAGTTTCACGAAGATCTTAAGAGATTTAATGTCAAAAAGTTACTTCTAAGTGCGCAATAGGTCTTTTGCACTGGCTCTACGTTATTGCCGCATGTCGGGGCTTGTTTTCACTTCATTTTGTTTCCAGACCGTTTCAAAACCTTAGCTTACTTCGGCAGCTCTAATAATGGACCAAAACAGTCAAAAAGGGTCACAAAAAAGGCTATCATTCCTTACCATTTGCTGTGAAAGTTTCCGTTCGACGTTCTTTTGAACAATTTCGTAGTTTGAATAAGCGACAAGGAAGCTTTCCGCATCATTCAATCCCACCATGTAATTAAACATGCCGTTTTTAAACAAAGTAAAGGTTTTTTGACCGCGTGTAGAAACACGGCTGCTTAGTGCATTTTCTTACCTTTTGGAACTTTTGACTCAGGCAGCAAATTTCGAAGAAACCAAGTCTTTATAAGGCATTATTGAGCTTCCGCTGAAATGATGAAGGGAAGCAGGCTGTGAAAACGAAAGCGGAATGTTTTAAGGCGTGACGACTATTTTTATTTTCATCATTATTCCTTTCAAATATGCATTACTGACCAAGCGTGAGGTGGTCAATATGGCTGGATATATGGCCAAATTCCTTTTTTGCATTTTTCTAGGCCGCTTTCTAAAAGTCCTTTATTTTTTCCTGGTTGGTTATGCCATGAGACTTCGTCGCTTGCTGCGCGACCTCATGCATTGAAGCTCGCTTCGCTCACTTTTAAGAACTTATGTGAGGTCGACTTGTAGCAAGTCTAGCATTTTGTTTACCGAGACGAGTCGAGGCCAATAAAAAAGGAACGACGCCAATATCCAGCTATCTTGACCAAACCAACTTGGTCAATAAGGGATTTATTTTATGGCCATATTTCTGTGGTTTTGATTCACAACGTCTTGCTAGCTGTTACCGTATTTATTCGAATAAGCGCCCAACCTCGAATAAGCGCCCATCCTAAAGGCAGACAAAGTTAATAAGCGCCCAGCCTCGAATAAGCGCCCACCCCCCTCCTCCTCCCAATCAAACTCAAATAAGCGTTCACCCCCACCCCACCCACCTGAGTGAATAAATTCTAATAAGAGACTTCCCCGAGGACGCAGTTTTCTTCAGAGTATTTTATAGAAACCTTGCTTTGTTAACTCTTCGTGTTTTGTTATTGTTGCAAAATAAACATACTTCACTTACCGAAAATGGTGAAAATTTAATAAGCACCCACTCTCAAGGTCCAAAAATTGAATAAGCGCCCAGGGCGGTTAATCGAATAAATACGGTATTTAGCATTTTACGAGTAGGCAGGCTACCAAGACACTGATTTATCTCGCTTACCCTTCCCAGCGTCCTTTGCGTCAACGCTAAACGTTCCCGTAGTCCATTGCGCGATACTATCGCTTGCAGTCGCTTTTTCTGTTCTCCAAACACACTTGAGATGAGACAATTAGGAACGAGGCAGTTTATCTACTTATATCGAGTACTGACATCTTGAAGACTAACAGAAATCTACTAAGCACGAGGTGTGTTGACAAGTTACCTGCGCCGCATGACCGGTATGGGATCAAATAGCGCGCACACATCACGATGCCTCGATCATTTCGGATGGTGTGCCTGTGGTACGACTTAAAGATAGATCTCTCCCCCATTCCTGTGAAGTCACCAACCTGTTCCTTGAATAGACCTTTTTAGCTTGAATGTTTTTCTTTCAGATCAGGCAATCCCGGAATTTACCTTGTGTCGCATAAATTATGCATACATATACACGTGGATGCACGCGAACG